CCACGTGCTTTTGAAAAAAAAAATCCGTGGAATTCTCTGATCAGTTTTATGGATTAACCATTTTACGGATGTTCCAGATCTTCCAGACGCCATCCAGGTCCATGATTATGTTATGACCCCAAATTCTTTGTTATATCACAGTTCTTTCGAAAAAAACGTGGAGCTCTAGGATCAGTTTTGTGGATTGACCATTTTTAAGGATTTTTCAGATCTTCCGGAGGTCCGATGGCCTTCTAGGTACATGTTTTTGAAAAACCGCAGAGCTCTAGCATCAGAGTCATATATTGATTACTTTTACGGATGTTCCGGATATTCCAGAGGACGATCCGATGGCAATCTGATCCATGTTTATGTAACGACCCAAATTCTTTCTTATTTCACAGTTCCTAATGTTAAAAAAGCATGGAGCTCTAGGATCAGTTTCGTGGATTGTCTACTTTAACGGATAATCCGGATCTTCCGGAGTACGGTCCCATGGCCATCAGAGTCCATGTTTATGTCACGTCGCCAAGTTCATTCTATCATCACAGTTCCTAGTGTTTTTCAAATACTGCGCAGCTCTAGGATCAGTTTCATAATTGACCACTTTTACGAATGTTCCGGATCTTCCGGAGGACGGTCCCATGGCCATCCAGGTCCATGTTTATGTCACGACCCACATTCTTTCGTATATCACAGTTCCTAATGTTTTCGAAAAAAACACGGAGTTCTAGGATCAGGCTCGTGGATTGACCACTTTTACGGATGTTCCGGATCTTTCAAGGACCGTTCCGTTGTCTCCTGGATCCATATGTAGGAACCATGACTGTATTCTGGCTAATTATGAACATTTGTGTCCAATAATCTGAATTATAGATCTTAAGCCACTTGCAAAACCCATAAACACACCTTAAAAAAACGTGTAACGACTCTTTTCACTTAAAACAAAGTAGACAACCCTATTTTCAATATTTTAACGATCAAAATAATCTACAGACCCTAGAACTTCTAGAGGTACCAAACTTTTTGAGTGTTAAGAGATATTTGACTAGAACTTCTGGTCAAATTTAAGAAGAGTTCCAAGGCAGTTGTTAGAAAATCTCCAGTTGAATGAAGGAGAATTCAGAATTGGATTCTTTGGATGATCTTACGCAAACTCCATGACGTTTGTGAAAAGCATTCCGTTCTGCGATGAATTTCTTGAGAATCCTGATGATAATTCCAAGAAAATTCCGAAGGTATTGAATTGTGAGGATGGTTTCCAGTGTTCTAGGGCTAATGCCAAGGTAGTTCTAAATATACTTTCGAGTTAATTCTGAATTCAATAGAAATTCCGATGTTTATTCCAAGGGTATTTTCAGAAGAATATAGATAAATCTGAGTAGAATTTCTGAGGTGCATTGCAAGACCATTCTATGGAGGATTCAAGCGAATTTTAAAAATTCGATGCAAATCTTAGAATAACTTCCATTTGTTAGGATGTGTATAGAATTTCAGAACAGATATAAATACAATTCCAAGGACTTTTCTAATGTAATGTATTTTAGAGGAATTTTGAATAGAACTAGGGGAAACAGTCCTATTGTTGCGATACGTTAGAATCGTTAGGATACTATTGGTTATGTATGGAGACGTTCAGACACAACAATAGGCTTCTAACGTTTCTAACGTACAGCAACAATAGCACTGTTAGTGAAAAAATATGTTAAAGAAAATTCATGGAAACATTTCAAAAGAATCCTGTAAAGACATCTTTGTGAAAGGTCGTTAAAAAATATACATAGTTTGCTGTATTTTTAAGGACTTATTAAACCCAATGATATTTTTGGGATTCTTAAAGCTTTTATTCATAAAATTCCAGTGGATTCGCATCCGCCGAAAAAGCTGGTTACAATTCTTTAGGAAAGTCCGGAAAATATTTGTTCGGATTGAGCATGATTTTGTTCATATGTCAACTTGTAACTCCAAACTTAGTTTACTTACTTTAGATTTCCTGGTCCGACGTCCCTCAGGATTGCACCTGCGTCACAATGTTACGCCAACTCACTCGGTTCGTGGCTGCTTGTCTCCAATTTGTTGACCGTCCCACACTTTCTAGATCTAGCTCCACATGGTCTAACCACTTTGCTCGCTGTGCTCCTCTGCGTCTTGTATCGGCTGGTTTCGTGGCAAACACAATTTTTGCGGGATTGTTGTCCGGCAGCTTTCGCGACTTTCTGGATACTGGGTTCGCCATAGAGTTGCGCCAGCTCGTGGTCCATCCTTTCCCTCCATACACCGTTCTCACATACCACGCCAAAGATGGTCCTAAGCACTCGTCGTTCGAAAACACCCAGTGCTTGCAGGTCTTTCTCGAGCATCGTCCACGTCTCGTGCCCGTAGAGAACAACCGGTCTTATCAGCGTCTTGTATATGGTACATTTAGTACGGGGGTGAAGTTTACCCGACCTTAGGGTCTTGTGGAGTCCGTAGTAAGCACAACTTTCGGCAATAATACGCCGACGAATTTCTCTGCTGCAGTTGTTATCCGACGTCACCAATGATCCGTGGTACATAAATTCATCCACCACCTCGAACTCATCTCCGTCGATTGTCACGCTTCTGTCTACGCGAGCCCTATCTCGCTCGTTTCCTCCAGCTAACAGATACTTTGTCTTCGACGTATTAACCTTTAATCCAACCTTCTCTGCTCCACGTTTCAGGCTGGTGTATTGCTCCGCCACGGCCCGAAACGTTCTTCCGACAAGGTCCACGTCGTCAGCGAAGCTGGACTTATTGAAGATCGTGCCCCGCATGTTAAAGCTCGCATGTTTCATAACACCTTCTAGCACAATGTTGAACAGGAGGCAGAAAAGACCATCGCTTTGTCGAAGTCCTCCACGCAGCACTGTACACCATCCATCGTAGCCCTAATCAGTCTGGTCAGCTTCCCGGGAAAACCGTTCTCGTCCATAATCTCCCATAGCTCTTCACGGTCAATAGTATCATAAGCGGCCTTGAAATCGATGCATAAGTGGTGCGTAGGGACTTGATATTACACTTTTACAGGATCTGCCGCAACGTGAAGATTTGGTTCGTTGTCGATCATCCGTCCACAAAACCGGCTTGATAACTTCCCACAAATCTGCCTGGGGCATATTACTCCCTCCTTCCACTCCTCCGGTAGCTGTTCTGTATCCCAGATCCTGACTATCAGTCGGTGCAGACAAGTGGTTCCGCTCCGATACCATCTTTACCAGCTGCTTTGTTGTTCTTAAGCTGTCGGATAGCATCCTTAACTTCACCTATCGTGGGAGATGGCATGTCCCCCTCATCCGCTGTACCGACGAAGCCATTCCTCCTGCTGCCTTGGTCCTCTGCCTCTGCGTCATTCAGATGTTCATCGTAGTGCTGCTCACGTTCGTCCGTCAAGATACCCCCTTCCATATCCCGACAAATTTCGGCTCGCGGCACAAATCCTTTGCGGGATGCGTTGAGTTTCTCGTAGAACTTGCGTGTTTCGTGAGAAATCCATCTCTTCCAGGTGCCGCTTCTCATCCCGGAAAAGATGGTTTTGCTGTCTTCGTTTCTGTTTGTATCGCTCCACATTTTGACGGGTTCCTTGGTGCAGCATCCTCGCCCACGCTGCGTTATTTTCGTCCAAAACCGTCTGACACTCTTCAGTCGAACCAATCGTTCCGTCGATTCGAACTTAGTTTACCCATTTTTAAATAAATTTTGAGCGTCGCATTTCGCTTCCCATTTTTGAGTGGTTTTGAAATAGTATGTTTGAAGATAATACTCTGAAACCAAAAGCTGCTTTAGTTATTTGAACCATCTCTGTAAATACACCATGCAGAGAGTTAATATGAAATTCATCATCCGCTTAAATCCTCGTTTGATGAAGGCAATTGATTGTCCTATGTTCATGATTCGCATGAGAAATTGTTTATCTTCCCAAAATTACACTCCACTTCACTCTCCTGGATCACCTCAATCTTTATACCTGTCAAGTTCACTCGCAGGGCAGATGATTAACGCAGACGAGCCACCACACTCACACACCACTCTGCTCCGATGCCTGCAACAGCTGTGAACCTCTATCAATATATCACCGATCAAACAAACGCCTCCTTCTGCCCATAGCTACTCACATTCCACCCACACCGCACGCCATTGTCGGTTCAACTTTCTCTCACGTCTAATGAGTGCTGTCATTCTTTGGCGGGTCTCATCTGATGAAGGTTGATCACACCAACACAAGCCCCACCGAGCCGGCACCTGTCTTCTCGTGTTTGGCAAACGACAATTTCGACTAATTTGTCACTAATCTGTGCTCATTTTTCACGCACGTTGGTATTGTTGTTTTTCCGTTTTGTTTTTTTCAGAGGGTAAAACGGAAGCATCGGGGATGAACCGACGGAGGGGTTTTAATTATGATTTTCGCAACAAGCCAAGCATGTGCCACCCCGGTTTCGTTCGACCGGTTGTTTCAGTTGTGGGTATATCTCATTCCGAAAGTCAGGACGAGCCAGGACAGGAAAATTGGACATTTCTCGTGTTTTGTTCGGTCGTTTCTTGCTTCCTTCTTTTTTCTCCTCTCAGCTCTAGATGAAGCCCTATTTTTTTCTTCATTCAGACAATGCCTGCAGTGTTTTAATTATGTAACTGGGTGGCGCATTTTGCTCCCCTCCGGTCGCCGGTACTTTGTTGTTTCCTTCTTGGGTTTGGGAAATTTCCGGTCTTCAAGTACCTACCGGAATGGCTTTTCTTTTTTGCAGAAGTTGGCAACATCAACAGCACCAGCAACTTATTTGCCTTGCAAAATTAGAAAGTTTGAACAATAACACAATTCGGCTTTGATGTTTATTCACTCGGAGACTTTTGGTATTTACCGACCTGCTTTGACGGGAAGTCAACTTTTCAGAAGATCGCTTTTTAATCTATTGAAACTGAACACCAAACTGACGATGAACTTCAAGCTTGTTTGAGAAGCAGTTGCTAATATATTCTTTACTTTTGTGCTTTCCTTCCATTTGCAGATGTAAGTTACGGTTACGTAGTTGATCAGCAGCCAATCGGACGGGAACTGTTCTTCCAGTTCTGCAAAGTTAAGCGACCGCAGTACTACCGTTATATCTGCTTTCTGGAAGATACGACGAGGTGAGTAATGATTGCTTTTAAGCCTTTCGTTTCTATTTTATTTCAGGCATTTTAGGATTTCTTAGAAATCCAGAAACACACCTAAACCTAATCTCGTAAAGTCCAACAAAACAGCCGTTATCGAAAATCATCCTTCGTTTGTTTTCCATTTTTATCGAGCGGATAACCGTCTTAATACCAGACTGCAATCTTAGCCCTAACTCACTCCCACACAAACAGCCAAGAAGAAGTTGGAAAAGTTCCCCTCGGGATCTCTCTCCGGTCGCAAACAACAGCCCCTGCAAAGAAGACCAACATCGCCAAAAAGGTTCGCACTTCTGGAGGAAAATCCCCGGTACTGCTCTTCTAACCTCGGGCGATGTCGGCCGTGCCCCCGTCCCCTCCTCCCGTCCAAGATGCAGCACAATAAGCTCCTTAAAACTGTTTGCTCAACATAAAAATAAATCCTTTGAAAACTGTAGCGAAAATTTGCGGGCTCGCGCAAACTGTGCTTTTGCTGTGATGGTGAATGCTACTTTTCCCTGCTACACTCCTCTGTGCCAGTGCGCGATAAGAGATGAAGCGAAATTGATAGCATAGCTGTCATCCTGGCAACCGAACGGAGTTGGGATGGAAATTTACGGTGCAGACAATTCCCGGAGAAACCCGGGTTGGCTGAAAACACTGAACCGTTTATAATCGATGAAATGGCCAATATGCTGAATTCGTAAATACGTAAAAATAGTCAAGTAAATATTTTTAAACAATTTGCGTTTCATTTGGTTGTTGGTACAATTATTCCTTTTAATATGCTTTAATTCATATAATCCACAATTTCAAGCAATATAAACGCAATGTGAGCAGCGTACCATTTATCGTAAACCGGCTGTCGTCATCTAGGATCCTTGGAGATACTCATATTGGATTCCAAACTGGCAGCGAACATCGATTTAAACTTATACTCGTCGAGCCCATCCCATATGTTTATTGCATGGGCTCAGATTCTTAGCCACTGTCCGGTACGTGTCTGGAACATTGCCATAACGACGTTCGGCATAATGTAAATTTGGCATAATCGCTGTACATCGATACATATTTGAAACATGAATTAATTTACAATCTAATATTGTTTCTTATTTTAATTGCTTCTCGTTCTTTAACAAAATCCTTCTTTTCCTTTTTTAAAATTCCTTTTTTATTTTAATAAAACCAAATGCGGTTAAGCCGAAGATATAGCTAAGTCCAATGAGTGATTACTAAGACAGCAGAATTTTTCCTGAATCTTGAATATGGTTCTGCGTTTGAAGTCTTCAAAATTTGTCTATGGAAATTCACTCTAAACATGTCAGGTTTTTTTGGTCATTATTATAGAGATTTTTAGCCATATGGCTAGTTCATCTCTTAAGATAGTAAAAAAGTAAATAGAAGAGAAATAAAATTGGGTTCTCAGAAGGAGATTCCCAATCTTGGCTGTGGTACATATATCTTGCTAGAATGAAAAGATGTAGAAAACTGCCAAAATGGCCAACAAACTGGAAATACAAACAAGGAACACTCAGATATTGCTGTAAAGGTTCACCTCTCTTAGCAAGGTGATGAGGGTGGCTGCTGCCGGGGACTCGTCGCCCAACAGGTTCCGAATGCTGATTGACTCCAAACCGAAGGCAGCCCGAAGGTCCTGCAGCTCCGCCCAGTTCACGAGGATGTGCTCCACGGTGGCTGGCACTCCGCAGGTTTCTCAGGTCCTCCGGAACGGTGTTCCTCCGAAGTTGTGGGAGACTCTGCTGTGCCCGGTGTGCAGCCTTGACACCACCCGTTGTTCTCTTAGGTTTGGTCAGTGTCCCAAGCTCTCCGAACCGTCCGCTTGATCCACTTTTTGACAACTTGGAGCGGTACATTGCCGGTGGACCTGGGTCCAGTGTGGCCTGAGCCGGCGAGGTGGTCGGCTGTTACGTTCCCTTGGATCCCGGAGTGACCGGGTACCCACGTGAATACAGTGTTGGGCGACGCATGCTTTACCGTTCCTTGGATCCACGGATGCTTCGGTGTTTCTGTTGTTAGGGCCAATATTACGCTGTGTGAGTCAGTTACGACTAATATCGGCCGGTTGGCCGGTAACTTAACCACGTGGAGAATGGCCGCTGCCTCAGCTGAAAACACTGAGCATTGGGTCGATGATGGCTCGAGCTACGCGGAAGCGGATTTCGCGATTGTTGGATCGGTGGGGGTGGAAGATGGTCTTAATCAGGTTGGACCGACTGCGACAGTCCTTCTTTACTTGTTGGAAGTGCGGCTCAATGGATAAATTCCAATCGAGGAGCACTCCCAAGACCCTCACGATGTTTTTGGTCGGTATTGCTTGTTGTTTAATCATGATGGGCTGTCCGTTGTTGCGATTCTTGGTGGTACATATATGGCAGCGCACGCTCTTGCCGGCGGAAAGCTGGAAGCCAACGGAGTCAGCCCATCTGGCCACCGAGGAGACTGCCGCTTGCGCTCTCAGTTTCGTCCTCTCATCCTGGCAACCGAACGGAGTTGGGATGGAAATTTACGGTGCAGACAATTCCCGGAGAAACCCCGGTTGGCTGAAAACAGTGAACCGTTTATAATCGATGAAATGGCCAATATGCTGAATTCGGAAATACTTAAAAATAGTCAAGTATTTTTAAACAATTTGCGTTTCATCTAGGATCCTTGAAGATACTCATTAGACTGATGCAAAATTTGAAATGTTCGCTCCACAGTGCTTAAACGGTTCCAAATTGGGTCCTGCTTAGCCTCCCAAAATTTGAACTACGTTAGTAAGAAACTGACTTGGACAAATCATTTCAAGTTTATATGGGAATTACTATGGGAAAACTTATGTTTTTGTTCATATCTATCTAAAAATTCACTACATTACTATGCCACTTTAAAACCACTTTTCAATCAAATTTAAGGAACAAAACTTATGAATGATTCAAGTCACTAATGTCTCAATCTTCAGGAAAACCAGGAAAACCGGGAAAAAGTCGGGAATTTATTTTCACCAGGAAAAACCGGGAAAAAACCAGGAATTTCATAAGTCCACCAGGAAAATAATCTTGTTTGTATAATTTAAATAGGTTTTAAATTTTATGTATTGGACAGTTTCTTTTTATAATCAGTTAAAAACTAACCATTTTGTTCAAGCTAAATCTTTCACACAACTAAACATTGATGAAAAAAATTTACCCTGAGAATTTTGTTAATATATTTTGTATTTATTTTTAACTTAATTTTTTTCTCGAATCAATCAATCATGCATGATTTGTGCTTAATTGATAGCAGACTTAAGCAGTGCCGACGCGTAACTACTTTGAAGTACCTGTTCAACATGTTCAATAAAAAAGTTCCATTTCTAAAACCTTCAGATAAGGCCTTCGAACTTCATGCAAGTTCTACAAAATTCGGGAAAGTCTTACAAGTTTCAGGAAAATCCTGTGAACTACTGTGATGACCTGCGAAATCTCTCCGAACCTTCAGAGAAGTTCTACAAATTTCAGAGAAGTCTTACGAACTTCAGGGAAGTCCTTTAATCTTTGGTGAATAACTACGAACTTTACAGAACTTTCTACAGATTTAATGTAACTTCTACAACATTTAGGCATTGCTTACAACTTAAGGATAATCTTATGACGCTTATGGACTTTTTCCGAGCTTCAGAGAAGTCTTCAATACTTTTGGGAAGTCCTCTGAACTTAACATAGTTCTCCAAGCTCAAAACAGTTCCTAGAACTTCCGAGAAGTCGATTGAACTACAGGTAGTCCTACGAAATTCATGGGAGCTCTCCAAACTTCTGGGAAGTTCCAAGAAAATAAGGAAAGACCCACAAACTTTTTGAAAATCCTTCGATATTTAAAGCCTTATGCACATCAGGGAAGCTCGTCTCAATTTAGGGTCCTCATATATTCAGTTAAGTCCTCAGATCTTCGAGAAAGTTCTTCGAACTTGAAGGAAGTCTTACGAACTTCCGAGAATTTCTACGAACTTCGTGGTACTTCTACGATATTTAAGAAATTCCTATGAATTTCAAAAAAACTCCGAACTTCAGGGAAGTCATAAGATCTTAAAAAAAAGTCCTTCGAACTTCGGGGAAGTCCCATGAAATTCAGGCAATACCAACTTCAACGAACCCCTCAGGAAAGACCTTAACGCTTCAGGGAAGTTCTAGGAACTTTAGAGAGTTTCTATGGACTCCAGTCAGTCTTTTTAATAATAAGAGTTATTAAACCAGCGTTGTTTATTAAATCTTTATTTTAATCATATGATTTTCGAATTATATTGTAATCAAAATTCCGCTAAATAAGATCCCTAATCGTTGACAATTTGCGGAAAACTTAAACAAACTGAAAATCTGTAAAATTGTTAGAAGCAAATGTTTGGTTAAAGAGTCCTCATTAAGGTTGTAAATACTCATTTCAGCTAAAATAATGTTTTTTTGGAATAATAAAACCAAAAGATGGTATGATGACATGTTTTACTTGTAACTTACAAGAAGAGGTTACAAAGTATGCGTTTGAAACATAAAACCAGTAAATTTTGCTTTCTATGAGTCACAATCAGCGATTTGCTGATCGCTGAGTGAGTGAGTGAGTGAGTGTGTGAAAATCGCTGATTGTGACTCTCATGAAGTGAAATAAACAGGTTTAATATGTCAAACACATTCTTTGCACCCTCTTCTTGTATCTTACCAATTCAAAATATAATCATAGCATCTAATTATTTCATAATTAAAAAAAAAAAGTGTTGGATCGCACCATCGGTGCCGGCTCTACGGCATTTGAATATATAAAGCGTTACCAGTAAAAGCCCCCCGGAACGATGGTAGCGATGCGATCCACATTGTTTGTATCATAGTGTTTTGTATGCATTTGTTATTGTTTACCTTTTGTATGGTTGTTTTTAGTTGTAGATAATTATTGTGAGTGAGTTTTATTGTTCAGGAATAATATTTAAGGACTCATTTGTTGTAAATAGTTTAAGTTATTATGGATTCCTG